TACAAATTTAAAACATTTCTAAAAGAGGGAGGGGATCAACAAATAAGAATGGCAGAATGTGGATGGCTGCTGAAGTGGATGGATGGTAGGTATGTGGGAAATTATCATACTGTTCTCTCATGGATATTTGAATAGTTCCATAATACAATGATTTTTATTGAATCATTGTGAATAGGCTGGGTGTGGTGGCTCACACCTGTAATCCAAGTACTTTGGAGGCCAAGGTGGGTGGATCACCTGAGGTCAGGAGTTCAAGACCAGCCTGACCAACATGGTGAAACCCCATCTTTAAAAAAATAAAAATAAAAATAAATAAATAAATAAATAAATAAATCACTGTGAATATATATTGCTCCAATTATAAATAAATCTTTTGTACCCAGTGCACAAATAATTAAGCTTTATTGGAATGGCTACTTACTACGTGTCCAGTGCTATTTCCAGCACTTAATGCTCATCAATTCCTTTAGACATGCCTGATCAGTTGGTATTATTGGTCCCATTTGATATCTGAGGAAACAGATCCAAAGAAACAAGCCACTTGGCCAAGGACTCAAGGCAAGTGAGATGGAGGAGGGGGAACAGCCACACCATAGAGGTGTCTGCTACACATATTGTTTGGTTCCTTTATAAATATTATTGTACGTGAGCATGTCTGTTTCATTGTCACTTGCAGTATTTTAGTGCATCCTGTTTTTCTAGAAAAATGAATCAGCCTCTCTCTGTTTATCCAAGATAACAAAACAAAACAAAAAGGCCTGAGAACAATATTGGTCTGATGGAGGCCATCCTGACTGAAAAAGGAAACGTCCCTGAGTCAATATCCTCAGTGAGAGACATCCCTTCATAAAACAAATCAGGAATATTCCAACAGGGTTCAAATAAGCATAAACATCCACAGAGTTCAGTGGAAGCTACACTGCACTCAGCCACCGGCATTTTTTACTGCCTGTGGGCTTTTCCTGTCTCATCTCAGACTCACTTCTCAAACTCTAACCCCTCAAATGTCTCAGGCTTTAAAGTTTCCATAAGATCTTTTTTCCCCTTGAGAATGTCCGCTTCCCACCCTTTCTTTCTGCCTATCAGAATTTGACCCTATCTTTAAAAATTCAGCTCAGGGAACACCCTTCTCTGTAATCCCATGTAATGAAATCCCTTGGCTAGAACTATGTGTTTCTTCCTCTGCACTTTCCTAATAAAATGGCTGTCCTCTCTTTTAATAAATTTCCTTCATTCTGCCAGTATTATGAAAAGCCATTTTCAGATTTCTTTCTAAAGCTGAACCTAAGTTATTTAGGACAAAGGCCACGTACTTATGTATTACTACATCCCACAGTGCCAGCACAAACTAGAAGCTCAATGTGGAAGGAAAAGTAAGAAGGAGGGAGGGAGGAAATGTTACTTTATAAGCATAAGCCAGACTGTCTAAATAAGGGAGTTAGGTTTTAAAGTCACCAAGAAAAGCAAAACTCATGTTGAAACAATGCCCCTGAAAATCTCCTAACTGCATATTAAGTTTGCTGTGCCATTTTTATTTTTTATTTTTTTATTTTATTTATTTATTTTTTTTTTTTTGAGAAGGAGTTTCACTCTTGTTACCCAGGCTGGAGTGCAATGGCGCGATCTCGGCTCACCACAACCTCCGCCTCCTGGGTTCAGGCAATTCTCCTGCCTCAGCCTCCTGAGTAGCTGGGATTACAGGCACGCGCCACCATGCCCAGCTAATTTTTTGTATTTTTAGTAGAGACGGGGTTTCACCATGTTGACCAGGATGGTCTCGATCTCTTGACATCGTGATCCACGCACCTCGGCCTCCCAAAGTGCTGGGATTACAGGCGTGAGCCACCGTGCCCGGCCATGCCCTGCCATTTTTAGACATGCTATCTCTCAATAAAACCAGCACACCCAGTTTTCCCTCCCACTTTGGAACAGATACATGAGAAGATAGCTGGTTTCCATTTAGGAGCCACATTGTGCCATGACAAGGTGGTCACAATTTGAGGATCTCCTGGGGACCAAGATGAGCAGAAAGAAAAATGAACTTTCATCTCATTCTCACTCTCACTCCAGGGCAATTAGATTGCAGCAGTGTGCAATCTGTCTTCTCTCTCCTTCTGTCCCCCTCTTTCTCTAAACTCATGTCGTAGGATGTGGGTGAGCCAATGCATACACAATGTAACTTTACTGTGCTTCTTCAAGTTCACAACCACTAGAGGCTTATGATTGTCCATGGATTTGCCACTTTTCATTATTTCTAACTGGCCTCATTCTAACAAAGGATTTGGAACCTTTTAAAATTCCGTAAATCAGGCCAGGCATGGTGGCTCACACCTGTAATCCCAGACTTTGGGAGGCCAAGGTGGGAGGATCACCTGAGGTACGAGTTCGAGACCAGCCTGGCCAACATGGTGAAACCCTGTCTCCACTAAAAATATAAAAATTAGCTGGGCATGGTGGTGCATGCCTGTAGTCCCAGCTACTCAGGAAGCTGAGGCAGGAGAATCACATGAACCTGGGAGGTGGAGGTTAATAGTGAGCAGGGATTGTGCCAGCCACTGTACTCCAGCCTGGGTGACAGAGCAAAACTCCATCTCAAAATAAAATAAAATAAAATAAAATTCCGTAAATTACACCAATATTATTCATGGACTCTGAAAATCCCTTCCATAGATACAAAAATAAAATGCAGAATATTCCACCACTGGCTAAAAAAAAACAACTGTTACTATAGTGCATGCACACAGAAAAACCTGGAAGGATGTATATCAAAGCAAACAGTGGATATGCAAATGATAGACTATAGATTTTTTTTCCCCCTTAATTAACAAAGAACTATAATGACTTTTGAAAAAACTTTTAAGAGTTACTTTTTAAAGGCTACTGTCAATTTCCTAGGGATAGACTGAAACAAGATATTCCAAAGATAAAGCCTATACTCTTTGCAGGCATGTCCTCTCAGAAGAACGTCTGAGAATAAGACGTTCGAAGGACTGAAGAATGAATGGTACAAGGACTCCTCGAGCCAACAGGCTGCCTGAACAAGCTGGCCACAAGCCTGGGGCTACAATGTCTTGCAGCCAACAGATACATCCGGGCATACTGGTGGGGTCAGCAGACACTGAGGCGCTGGTACCAAGCTCGAGGTAGGGAGAGCAACGTCTCTTGAGCATCCATCCGTGCTGGTCTTGGTGCCAGAGATCCAACATGTATCTATCTCTAATCCTTACAACACCATCCAAGGCAGGCAAGAGGCTAGATAGCTTACCCAATGTCACATAGCTGGTGTTTGAAGCTCCATATGTCAAGCTCCAGAAAGTGCTCTTTAACAATATAATAGCTATGAAAAGATGTGGTCCCCACATATCTGAACCTTACACAAATGCAGAAAAAGAGAGAGAGAATGCAATGTCAGATGTGAAAAACATCAGTGAAGTACAGGGGATTTGAGGAGTATATAGGAGAAAAACCTTAAAATGGACAGAGTTGAGATTTAAACCCAGCTCTATTTAGACATAAAGTCTCTGTGCTTTGCATTATACTAGGCTGCCTCTCCACACTGTAGGAGCCTGGAAAGGTAAAGGAAGCTCCAATTAAGAGGGGAGTCACATGACAAGTATAAACCTGTTCTCTCTTCTCCTTTGCCCTCCCCACTACCACCTGGGCTCCTGAAAGAATCAGTGCAGGAGCCAACATCTCCTTCAGCCCATTGACGTCTGTGAGATACCCGGAGACATTCAACCCAGAGATATCCAGGCTGCTTGCCAAACAAGGAAATCCGAGATAAATGTGCCATTCTGTCATGACCTCATCCTGCTGAGAGACAGACAGAAACAATGGCAGAGAGAAATAGCCTTGCATGTTTTCATGGCACCTTTCAGAAAGAGATGAAATTCACCATCAGTCACACCTCTTGGAGGTTATACCATTTAGCTGATGAGAAACAGGCAGAAAGTCATAGAGTAGGGACGCTCCTGAAGGCAGGCCTATGAGAAGCCCCCTGAAGCTTCTTGAAGAAGAAAAATAGCACTGCTTCTCCCATACTGACAGGAGTTCCTATGAAGCAGCGTTTGTCAGCAGTATTATTAAAAAAGAAATCAGGCCAGATGCAGTGGCTCACACCTGTAATCTCAACACTTTGGGAAGCCAAGGCGAGAGGACTGCTTGAAGCTAGGAGTTCAAGACCAGCCTGGACAACACAGTGAAATCCTATCTCTACCAAAAGAATTTAAAAATTAGCCAGGCTTAGTGGTATGCTCCTGTAGTCCCAGCTACTCAGGAGACTGAGACGGGAGTAACACTTGAACCTAGGAGTTCCAGGTTACAGTGAGCTATGATCACACCACTATACTCCAGCCTGAGTGACAGAGTTAAGACCCTGCCATTAAAAAAAAAAATCAGGTATATAGTGCTGGCTGATGATTTCTTCAATCTCCATGCTCTGTTTTTTTGCTTGTTTGTTTGTTTGTTTGTTTGTTGATACAGAGTCTAGCTCTGTCGCCCAGGCTGGAGTGCAGTGGTGCAATCTCGGCTCACTGCAACCTCCACCTCCTGGGTTCAAGCGATTCTCCTGCCTCAGCCTCCTGAGTAGCTGGGACTACAGGTACGTGCCACCACGCCTGGAAATTTTTTGTATTTTTAGTAGATACGGTGTTTTACCGTTTTAGCCAAGATGGTCTCGATGTCCTGATCTCGTGATCTGCCCACCTTGGCCTCCCAAAGTACTGAGATTACAGGCGTAAGCCACTGCAACCAGACCCTGTTTATTTTTATTAGAGCACAACAAAGGTAATTTTGTTCAAATCTACTACTTTAGACTTAGGCTTGAACTGACTGCCAAGGGACGTAGTTTACCCTTATTACCCAAAAATGTGGTGGCCCCAGTAATACTGCCTACTTTGGTTGCTGGTTAATCCTCACACAGGCTGAACCTGGAGATCATACTATGTCAATGGTCTGGTTCTTTCAGGATCTCACAGATTGATTTCTAAATTTTGTTTTCCAAATCGGTGGTCTGTTGGAAGCGCACAGGATTCCATCATTACACCTTCCTTTAGTCAACCAATTTGGGACTTAGCTCCATTTAACATGTACATGCTTTGATATATTTTGGTCCTGGACTCTATCATACAGCACTCTTATAAAGATACTTTCTTAAATTCTGGAAACAGCTTTGTTGGGTAGATATTTTTGTGTCATCTTAGTTTACAGATGATGCAAAACCCAAACATTCTGACTTCAGAATCCGTATTCTTTTTTTTTTTTTTTTTTTTTTTTTTAGATGGGGTTTCACCATGTTGGTCAGGCTGGTCTTGAACTCCCAGCCTCAGGTGATCCGCCTGCCTTGGCCTCCAAAGTGCTTGGATTGCAGGCGTGAGCCACCATGCCCAGCCCAGAATCTGTATTCTTAACTACTATACCAGACTATCTCCTCCAAAGAAGGTTTCAGACAACTCAGTTTATTTTTTAGATAAAGACCCCACAAAGGGAATCATGGCATATAGAGCATGAACAGAGGTCATGAATGGACACCCCAACCTTAGTGATATGAGACCTAAAGATGTAACAAGATCTTTTGGAACCTGTTTGGTCAGCCATTAAATGCAGGCAATCACAGAATTCACCTTCTGAGATAAGAGTAGGTGTGACCGCAGAGCCCAGCTGGATTGACAAGTCTTGATGAAAGAATTTGTGGTCACTGCCTTCAAACTTAGTTCCAAGTGCCTTAAGGAAGATCCTCCGGGGGGCTGTATCTCATGTAAACCTACCTGTTCTTCTGCACCCTTCCTCCACCACACACACACACACACACACACACACACACACACACACACACACACACACCCCTTCTTTGTAAAAGACTTCTTTAAAACAAGATAGAATATCTTGTCTACTTAACTTGACAGACAATGTTTTTATAGGAGCCAACACAAATGCCTAGATCATTTTATCTAGATTCCATTTATCTATCTAGGTCCTCAAGTTCCAGCTCAAATCCCATCTGTCTCAAAACTAACATTTCCATTGGAAAAAGTTACAATTCTATCTGCCCCACATGGAGGAATAAACCACACCTTCTAGGATGCAGAGCTAGGAGACCACACACATCAGCCTTTACACAAGAATCTCAAACTTTCAACTGTAATGTTTTATGACTATTCTCTTTTCTCAGAATGAGTGGAGAGAATGCAAACAAACTACCAGAAATCTGGAGCATCATAAAAGAATCCATGTCACCCTTGATAGGAACAATTTTGCATTGGAATTAATTTTGCTGAATGAACCACAGATTCCTGAAAACAAATTTGCTGCCATTCTTACTTTATGGTCCTGAAAATGTCACAGAATAACAAGCTTTTTCTACCTTAGCTTGTGCTTTGCTTAAACTGTTTTGAAGTATACTAAATATGGCATTTTACAAGGCAAAAAATATGAACCCAACAGTTTGAAGGCTTCCCTTATAAAGAAACAGTTCTTGCTTTTAAACTTTTCAAGCTTCTTAAATTTGCTTCTTTGCTGTCTGCTTTTAAAAATTCCAGACAGTAATTCTAATCACAGAAGTCTTTGTGAAACTATATTTCTGTAAATTTTTTTTTTAATCAAATAATGTTATTGGAAGGAAGCAGAAAACCACAGTGCCCAAACAGAAGTGACTAATGCTAGTAGCAAGTGCTGTAATAAATAAGGCCCTGGAGCAAGAGACCACTGCACACAGTAGCCTGTTGTATATTCCCATGGTCAGGACTATTTGGAGACCAGCAACCAGATTTTCCAGATCTCTTGATGTGTTAATCAAGGTAACCAGGTGCAACTCCTTTCACTACCAATCTTTTGCTAAAGATGATAGAAAGAAAAATACAGGAAGAGCAAAACCTAAAGAGACGAAGAAGTCCAAATAAAACATTCACTTAGAAGACAGGAATCACACTGATATGGTCTATGCCCAGTTATATTACAGATCAGTTTTTAAAGAACTACATATGTTTTAATGTTTGATGTAACGCATTACAGGTGTTCTCAAAGTTTTACATGGAAGATGAACCAGTGACCTAACATTAAACTTTGAATTTCTCTATTGCTGTTTCAACATGTTGTTGGCACAATTTCAAAATTAGTTATGTCGTTTTTCTTTGTCACCATAGGGATGTCTGCTCTGGGACCCAAAGAGTCAAAATGCCTTAAGCAATCATTGAACTTTATTTATCTTTATTCTTTCAACCTTCACCCACTCACCTTTATCTGAAAAATATTTTGGTAGAGACTATGAATCCATATCCCACACTCTCTTCCTGCACAGCCTATCTGCTACTGCTCACTGCATGCCCCCACAATCTTATGACATGACGGGTAATAACTTTTTTTTATGACTATAAATTTGAACAACTCAAAAACAGCAAGAGGCTTGTTTTAGCACAGTCTTATGAGATGTTTCTCTGACAATGATGACACTTCAGGTATAGTCAGGTTGATTAAAGCAAATTTGGGATGTTATATTCTCTCAGGTGGAATTACCTTTTCTATCAAGTTGTTATTATTTGAATGATAGACTTAGTTTTCAAAAACCATGAAAATATGAGTGACCAAGTATCAGAGTAAATTATTAGAGACATTAAATTTATACCAGTAATATAATACAAATAACATATAATAATAATAATAATCTGTATTTACAACCAAACTATATTTTCCCAGAGAGAAGAAAGGAGAAAGAAAGAAAGAAAGAAAGAAAGAAAGAGAGAGAGAGAGAAAGAAAGAAAAAGAAAGAAAGAAAGAAAGAAAGAAAGAAAGAAAGAAAGAAAGAAAGAAAGAGAGAGAGAGAGAAAGAAAGAAAGAAAAAGAAAGAAGAAAGAAAGAAAGAGAGAAAGAAAGAAAGAAAAAGTGTCTGAGCACAGTGGCTCACACCTGTAATCCCAGCGCTTTGAGAGGCTGAAGTGGGCAGATCGCTTGACCTCAGGAGTTCGAGACCAGTCTGGGCAACATGGGTGAAACCCATCTCCACCAAAATACAGAAAATTAGCCAGGCACGGTGGTGCGCACCTGTAGTTCCAGCTACTTGGAAGGATGAGGGAGAAGGATCACTTGAGCCCAAGAGAGGCTGGAGTAAGCTCAGATCATGCCACTGCACTTCAGCCTGAGTGACAGAGTGAGAACTTGTCTAAAAAAAAAAAAGAACTAATGTGCTTGATTCAGTAACCCACTAAAGTGAGTCTGAGTTTACCATTATTTTTTCCTTACTATCCCCATCAAAATTTATGGCAATAATAGCCTTGGATTCAGTAATTCCATTGCTAAGAATGAGTACTAATAAAGGACTCAGGATGCATCTTAAAAATCTTTAAGAATGTTTATTAGCTGGGCGCAATGGCTCACTCCTGTAATCCCAGCACTTTGGGAGGATGAGGCGAGTGGATCACAAGGTCAGGAGTTCAAGACCAGCCTGGCCAACATAGTGAAACTCGTCTCTACTAAAAGTAAAAAAAAAATAAAGAAAGAAAGAAAAATTAGCTGGGCATGGTAACATGCACCTATAGTCCCAGCTGCTCAGGATGCTGAGGGAGGATAACTGCTTGAACCCAGGAGGCGGAAGTTGCAGTGAGCCAAGATCATGCCACTGCACTCCAGCCTGGGGGACAGAGTGACTCCATCTCAAAAAAAAAAAAAAAAAAAAAAAAAAAAATGAGAGAGAGAGAGACAGAAAGTATGTGGTTATCATCTGCCCAGAATCACTTCCCTTCTTCCGGCCACATTCCTCCCCACTACTACCATGACCACTTCCATTGAGGAACTAATATTTCTCCATTCTAACTCTGTGATTCCTGAATGATGAATAATCCAGTACCCTTCTCTGCTGAGCTCACAGGAGGGCAACTGAACAGATACTGACATACACTAAAGTGGGCGGGTGAGGACAGGTAGAAGGAAGTCCTCTTGTCCCTTTGGAGGTTGCTCGTTTGGGATGTGGATGCCCAACCTGTCCAAGGCCATATTCCTGTCAGTGAAGAAGGGAATGTGGCCAAGAGGCAGAGAGATGTGGAGCCTAAATGATACTAATGAAGTCCCTGGATCTGGAGCCGACCCTGGCCTCACTTGGTACTTGGACCAGCTAGTGTGAGTTAGACCTCTGTCACTTTCAGCTGGAACAGTCCTGACTAGTCCACCCTCCATCACACAAGCCAGAGACAGGAATCTATATTCTATATTGCATTCATGGCCAAACGGCCCAGACTCTGTTCTTCAAGCTCTCCAGGCTGGTAGGTATTACCTTGGAGATGGGAGCCAAACTTTGGAGTATATAAGATCCAGTTTGCTGCATCCTTCTAAAATAACAGTGTGTATGCTAAGGGTAATGAACTGTTATGTTCTATTTCTTACTACACTTGGAAAAATAAATCAAATAAATCATAATCATTCTTAATCTTTTTTTTTTTTTTTTTTTTAAGATGGAGTCTCACTCTGTCACCCAGGCTGGAGTGCCGTGGCATGATCTTGGCTCACCGCAATCTCCGCCTCCTGGGTTCAAGCCATTCTCCTGCCTCAGCCTCCCAAGTAGCTGGGATTACAGGCATGTGCCACCATGTCCAGCTAATTAATTGTTTTTTTATTTTTATTTTTAGTAGAGATAGGGTTTCACCATATTGGCCAGGCTGGTCTCGAGCTCCTGACCTCAAGTGTTCCGCCCGCCTTGGCCTCCCAAAATGCTGGGGTTACAGGTGTGAGCCACCATGCCCAGCCCATTCTTAATTGTTATAGAAAGTCCCTTTTCAGGAAAAGTTGGTTGTTAGTGAAATAGACAACTCTGCTTTTTTTCATCTCTGCCTTCTGTGACAGAACTATAGTGACTCAGTTTTTGTTTTTGTTTTAATAAAGCAGAAATCAGGACCACATGCAAACAATTATATTCTCATAAGGAAACAAGTTGTTCTATGCACAGCACTAAAAGTCCTGACTCAAACCAAATGTCACCTCCTTAATCATTAATACACCTCCATGCAGCACCCTGAGTTTACTATTTAAGTGCCTACCAAGTCCCTCCCTTCCTAAATGTCTGACACCCAGTTGAGCTCATGGATTAAGGTGACACTCATAAACCATTCTTAGCAATGAATGTGCTACAACCACATAGTAATGACTGCAAGGTAATTGTAACTTATGACAGGGTTTTCCTGCAGGAGCCAGGAAACAAAAACATCGTAGATGGCTTTCTGAATCAAATCAAGGTACAAGGGACCAAGTCTTAAATTGGGAAAACTATGCATGTGATTTCAGTAGGAAACAATTGTAAATAAGTTAATCCCACCCTGTCAGTCCTCTAGATTCAAGACCGAAGCCTACAAACTAATAACAGAGTCTTGGGAAGGAGTACCAAACACCCAGCAGAAAGTAATGCAACATGCAACAGCAGACCATGTCCAATAAGCATCCTTGGTGCCTCAGGATCACATTTCCTATGGCTTTTTCCTCCCTTCAAATCCAGCTAAAAACAGTCAATATACAAAACCAAGTTAATAATATCTTGTCTGAGCTAGAATTTAAAGACAATGTTTGTATGCAAGCATATACATACTCTATAGTATGTAAAAAAATAATTGAGCAGAACTGATGTGATATTGAGTATAGAAAAATAATTTTTATTTATTTAAGGCTCAGCATGGTAGCTCACACCTGTAATCCCAGCACTTTGGGAGGTGGAGGCGGGCGGATCAAGAGGTCAGGAGATCAAGACCATCCTGGCCAACATGGTGAAACCCTGTCTCTACTAAAATACAAAAAATTAGCTGGGTGTGGTGGTGCATGCTCATAGTCATCCCAGCTACTTGGGAGGCTGAGGCAGGGGAATTGCTTGAAC